CCCCCCCCCCCCCCCCCCCCCCCCCCCCCCACACCCACACTTGGCTGCCTTCTCCCCTCTCTTCCTCATAGCGTCTTCATGGCCTCACTTCTTTCTTCAATCACTTCATCACCTCCCTAAACTCTCGCTGCTCAGTCCATCTCTTCAGTCCTCCTTTGCTGCTCCGACTCCTCTCCTTTTGTATTTCCCGCTTAGTTGTCCCCAAATGCTTCAACTTGTACCACGATAAATTCCAAACAAGTTTGCAGACTCACGACAAAAACTGTTTTGTAACGCCGCTTCTGTGCAGCGGTAATGCACTATTCTAGTTATTCTGACAGAAGCAGCAGATAAAATCATACTTTGCTTAGAACATATGAGAGTATGGAGAGGGGAGACATTTACTCATAAAGTGCAGCAGGGAAGACGTATGTGTAGCCAACAGGAAGTTAGCATCACACTGGTTCCCGCATCAAAAAGCCAGTGGGATTTATCCATTGAATTTTAGATTACTGCAGAAAAATAAGCTATGTGGCAAACAAACATTCATGAAACGTACACGCTTTGTTCAGCAAGATAAATCTTCACAAATGAACCACCACTCTTATGATTTTTTGAAGAAGTTAAAAGCTAACTTTAGGCTACAAATCAACTGCATCACATTAGCGAGAGTTAACACAACTAGTGGGTGTGATGGCCTTTTGTTGATTTTTTTTGGGACTGTACTTGTATATCTCTTTTCTAGTCTTAGACCACTCAAAGCGCTTTAACACTACATGTCATCATTCACCCATTCACACACTGATGGCCATGCAAGGGGCCACCTGTCCATCTGGACTAACTAACCCATTCACACAGGAACAGCCTGCGGGTTAAGTGTCTTGCTCAAAGCCACATCGACATGGATTAGCGGAGCCGGGGATCGAATGCCGATCCTCTGATTGAAGGACGACCCTGCTCTACCACTGAGTCACGGTCACCCCTTTTTATTAGCCACTTGTTAGCAACCGCCTTTTTTAAAGACACATAATAGCATTTACTGACTCATTTTATGTTGTAAAACAAAAAGTTTGAATCTCCTAAGCTAAACCACAGACCAATATTTCAGGAAACCAACCAAAAAACCCATTGACTTCCAGACAAGGGAACCAGAAGTGCAAAAATGCTGACTTGTTTCTAGGATTTAGGACTCATTCCTGCAGCACTCTATACTGCAGAGGTGTTAAAGCGGCCTTTTTCCCGCTGTGTTAGAATTTGGAATCTATTGAAACATTAATTAACATGAATTAAAGTTGACCACGGCCATGGTTGAGTGTTTTAGTCAAATGTTTTCAGCAGGGTTTTATTTACAAGTGGCTGTAATCACTAATTGTATCAAATGACTCCTCTTTACAGAGCTTTATAGAGAGCTTCAGCTCATTGTTTAGCTATCCGGACCGCAACCTTCCTGATTTGGTTCACTCTCACAGCTCTCATAGTGTCATATTCGGACACGTGAGTAGGGCTGAGAACTTTTTTTGACTCACTGCGACCAGAAAAAAACAACGATGTGCAACACTGCTGCCATTTGTATCTTAGTGTAGAAAAGTGGCGCTACCACTGGAAAAACGGCACAACGTGACATAGCGGTAGTGGCGGTTGTTTTCCATCCCATACGGTTGGCTTGTCAATAGCGCCGTATTTCAATCACAGTTATGAGCCCGACACACAAGGCAGCTGTTTTCAGTTAAAAGGCCCTAAAGCTGTACACCAACTCTGTCTCTGTGCCATTTGGTGCTAAGCAGGTAGCAACTACCTGGTGAATATCACGGTGCTTTTAGCAGAACCGGACATTTCTCCTCAGGAGTTGGCTGAGACCAAAACCAGAGCTGTAAGAGTGTGTATATTGGACTTACATCAGCTGGACACAAACATGACAAAATAATGATGACGTTGCTCTGTAACTGCTGAATGGGTAAAAAAATAAATGGACTTGCATCCAATGCCAACAACTGGTCAAAATAAATCTGGTTATTGCAAGTTAAGAAAAATGAAGGTTCTTATTTGATGACTGATTTAAATTGTGTCTGAGAGGCTGGTAACTCAGAATGTCCGACAAAAGAATTGGATCTTCTTTACGTCTCCGTATAAGGCTAGTCCTGTCCAGGTGTACTACCTCCCCACCCTCACCCATTCACTCTGCTGTATACTCGTGGGCCGAGAGCCTGGCACTCACACATGGCGCCAGCTGTGGTGCACTGTGTGTCAGTTTGTGATGCTCCTTTCAGGTCGAGCTGGTGAGATAAAGGAAAAGACAGGACGCAGAGCAGTGGAGTAAAATATAGGGAGTGAGAGAAGAAGAGGAA